AATGTTAGAACCCTCAGAATATGTTTGGGATATTAGGGCAATAGGGCTACAAACATAACCTTCACCTAGAGTATTATAATACTCTTCAAACTATTGCTCAATACATGGTTCAAATTTCAGCTTCTTCTCATCATTATGCATGTTGAAATCATGGTCAAAATCAGAATCAATAGAATTTAGGACATTACCATAAACATTAGGGGAAATCAAACTACCAACGAAATGATTATTTACCTCAACTTCCTCATCAACATTAGATTATTGAATAACTGGAGGAGGAAATGGTCCAAAGTTGAAAGGACCAACTTGGGGAGCATGGTAGTGGGAGGTTCTTGGTGTATGCTGGCTTCTAATATACAAAAGCATTGTGAAGGAAGAATGACTATTTGTAGAATTCAATACTGTTAATCATGGATTAGTAGTTAACAAAACCATGATTGGATGATCTAACTAAGCTTCATTATGATTTTATATTGAGTTGTGTGCCTTTATTAGTTTTATATCTACCATCAGGAAAAGGATTTTAATGTTATTGTTGTGTGGTTGAAATTAGTAATTGTTGTGAGGTTGAAATTAGTTTGTTATACAGTGATGAGGTAGTGAACAAAAATGATTATATTGGACGTTATTCATACTAGCAATAGCTCTCTTTCTTTTTATTTCTTGGTTGACTGTGCGTATACCACACCAATAATAGCCCAACGACTATCAACCCTTAATTAAAAAACAAATTGTAAATTTACTCTAACTACTAGTTGTACAACTAGATACTAATCATCAATGAATGCCAACATTAATATTACTTTTGCTACTATTTTGCAGGTGCCATTCAAACCATTCAAAATATAGAATTAAATGGAAGAGACTAACATTTAAAATCAGTATCCAATTTAAGGCCAAATGCTAAAACTGAGTGAAGGGGAGCCAAGTCAGTTTGTAAAGGGAGCCAACCAAGCTTGTTTGTGTTATTTGTGAGTGGAGCCAAATAGGCTGCAGCTTCCTTGACAAGTTGGGACTAATAATGTCAAGTTAGGACTGATAAAAAGGCCCAAATATTAAAGGAAAATAATTAAAATCACTTTTTTGTATTACACATCATTGTCTATCCCAAACACCTTTAATAGGCATGGTTTTGGAATTAGTTTTTAAAAAAAACAAATCACAAGACACTTTTATGAAATTGTGTCTAGATGATCAATGGGTAGTAGCCATATTTCTAGTAGTGTATATACAACTTTATAAGAATTGTTCGCTAAATCACTGGATAGGAAACTGAAAAATGTGACATTCATGTTCATAAGTTGTCCATGCAACTTCTGAATTTGTTTGTGAACGTATGCAGTCGAATGATATTGGTGATATTCATGTGTGTATTCAATTGTGTGGGAGAAAAACTGAGACAAATATAAAGGTATTCGATAGTGAATAGTTAAAGGGTACATTAGCAAAAACTTTGCAGTGGAATGCTATTGGATGATACAATGTAAGCCAACATAAGATGTGTCTGTTAGGATCTATGGTTGCTAATGTACATTTTTTAGGTACATTAGTTGTAGATTTTACTTTCCTTTCAACTAATTAAGGTATCTGATAGTGAATAGTTAACGGGTAAAACGTTAACTGAACAAATATAATTATCTTTCCAAAACTCAAAGCAAACTTTTTTCTTTGGATAAGAAAAGGAAATTTGGCATTGTTTTGATAATTATCTTTCAACATCTATAGTGTTTTATGGGTTTCGTATATTTTTTATGCTTCACTTGTGATTGATATGATAAAATTCATAGTTGCACCACTTAAATAGAGTTTGAAAATGCACAACTTAAGTAAAGGGAAAAAGGAAGAGCAAACAAGATTATAACGCTTGGAGTGTGGAAGAGAATAGAATGTTGTTGCAACTCATGGTTGATGCTGCATCCTGTGGATGGTGTGATGCTAATGGCATGTTAAGCAAGGCAACTATAGAAACCAAAATACTTCCCAAGATTAATGAAAAACTTAGGTGTCACAAAACCTATTCTCAATACCAGAGTCAGTTGAAATACTTTAAAAGAGTATCAAAAATATTCATAGCTTATTTGTCACAGCTCTGGGTTTGGGTGGGATCCAACCACAAAGAAATTCACTGCTCCTGAAAAAGTTTGGAAAGACTACTTTAAGGTTAGGTTATTAAATTTTCTTTAAATAATTCTATGTGGTAACTTGAATACATAATTATGTTAAATAATTATTATTTTATTGTTTTTGTTATAGTCCCACCCAAAAGACACAAGGATTCAAACAAAAACTTGTGAGGACTATGAGGATCTGCAAATTGTAATTGGGAATGCAACTGCTATTGGAAGAAACTCATTAGGATTGGGAGATGATACTGATGCAAGAACTTTTAGGGTGGAAGATAGACGTGTTGAAATAGAGGACTTTGTTTTTTATGATGAAAGTTAGGCCTTTATACCAAATCATAATGAACCACCACACCAAGATCCACCACTCAGACATTCTTCTTCATCCTTACCCTTTCAGGGCACTAATTGGGAAGGTCCCTTAGAAAGCTCAAGCGAGAGGAAACGAACTAGAACATATTTGGAAGGGAATGCTATCTCAAATTAGACCACCCAGCAAGCTATGGGAAGAATTAGCCTTAGTAGTGATTCAATTGCAACCCACTTCCGGGGAGTCCATAACCTATTGGCAAAAAGGAAAAAAGAGAGAGTAGTAGAGTTATCTGTGGGATGCCATTAAGGAAACCCCAAATTTGGATGAACGTGCTCGTTATATAACGCTTTCTTTGTTGAATACTAACACAAAAAAGGATGCATTTTTAAAAATGTCTCATGAGGAGCACTCAAATTGGATATCCCTACAATTTGGAATGAGTGGTTTTTTTTATAGAGTTTTTGGGAATTACTGATTTGTTTGAAATGATTGGTTTTTGGGATTGTTTTTTGTTTCGATATCATCTCCAAGAGTTTGGTGGTCAAGGTCGTGAACCTGCAAATGAAGTTGAGTTGTTCAATTTTTGTCATGCGTTCTTGAGGAATGTCATTGAGAGGATATTTGGTATATTTAAATCACAATTCACAATTTTCAAATTCGGACCTCCATTCCAATATACGACACAAACAGACCAATGTTAGCTTGTGTAGGACTACACAACTTTCTTTGAAGAGAGTGTAGATCTGACAAATTTCTTGTTGAATTGGAGAACGAATCTTCTTCATCTTCATGGTTACCGGTTAATGAAGAGGATCTTGAACTAGGTTTCCAAACACAAGAACAACAACGACAAAATGCTAATGAATGGAGAGTTGGTATAGCTTTGAATATGTGGAGAGATGCCGGGCACAATGACAACAATGAGAATCAAGGATAATGAATGAATGTTGAATATTTTCCTTAAACTTTGCTTTCAAATTTGTTATACATTTTCACTATATTTCTTGTGAATTTCTTATGAATTTTGCTTTTTGTTAAAAGAATATCATTCATCATTACTATGTTTGACCTAACTATCTGGTTAGAAATCACTAGGGAAGAGAGTTTATGTATTTGAAGTCTTTAGTAACCACAAGAAGAAAAAAAATAGAAGAAGAAAGATCTGAAGTTTCTTCCGAAATCATATAGCTATTGCACCATACTTTTTATACAGAGTGCCAAATGAGAGAGCAATCAGAAACAAATGTCCTAAAGAAACAAAGCACCACTTACTGCTCCGCGAAAAGCAAACATCTCTTCTTGGCTTTTTGATTGTTTGGGTAAGGATGCCAAAGTTAGCATTCGTTTAAAGAAATATGTTAAAGAAATTATGAAAGTCTAAAATAAAAGCCATACAAATCTTATAATAAAATTATATAGAACTCTTCTCAAGTCTATACGAAATCCAAAAGTTCCATAGAGTTTCATGAAATTTGGCACTTAAAAAAATTCTTTTAAAATGCTCTAGAATCCTTATTGAATACCCCCCTTTTATTTTATATGGATTTCAAATTCTCAAATTTTAACTCGTCAAATTCTGGACGGATTTAGCCCAAATAAAAATCCACTTACTTAAAATGGACCCAAACAACATGATTTATATTTGGGCTATTCAAATTCAAATTCACCCCCTTGTCTCGTTCATCAATCTCCAATGTGGGATTTGTAGCTATTGAAATAGGCGTGAGCGTCGATGAGCTTGCGATTGTAGGAGAGGAATGGAAGTCCAGAAGCTTCTCCAATGAAGGGTCTATGATGAGGAAGTGTGTTGAGGGATTAGATCTGGTCGTCCAATAATAGCTCTTGAATTAGCCATTAGAGATGACAATGAAGACAAAATTACGTGGTGAAATGCAATAGACATGGAAGAGCAACAACCGTTGCAACCGCCATAAAAGAGGGTGTCGTCATGAGAGAGAGAGAGAGAGAGCTTAATTACTATGGAACCCTAGGTTAGAGATACGAGAGGCTTGAATGGAATTTGAAAATTCGATGGATTTCAAATTCTCAAATTTTAACTCGTCAAATTCTAGATGGAAATAAAAATCCACTTACTTAAAGTGGACCCAAACAACATGATTTACATATGGGCTATTCAAATTCACGCCCTCATCTCGTCCATCAATCTTCCAATGTGGAATTTGTAGCCGTTGAATAGGTGCATCGATGATCTTGCAACTACAAGAAAAAAATGGAAGTCTAGAAGCTTCTCCAATGAGGGGGCTATGGTGAGGAAGTGTGTTGACGGATATGATCTGGTCATCCAATAATAACTCTTTAATTGATCTGATGGCTATGAAGGACCCCCTCATATAATAACCTCTCGTTACAATCTCTTTGCTGAAATCCGTAGATCCAAACGGGCCCATGAATTTATAGCTGGATTAGGCTTATCGATCCGTTGACCTGTTTGCTTGGAAGTGGGTCATGTGGGAAGAAATATGTGCGTGGGCATTTTTTTAAAATTTGGGCCCAAGATGATAAAACACAGAATGTTCAGCCCATTCAACTACAAGGATACATTCGGCAACGACATCGTTTGGTGGCTGTCATCTCCTTTCCTTCAATTCCAGAATCCAAGTGCGATTGATTTTGTTGGTTTAGGTTTCCGAAACAGAAAACGAAGAAGCATTTCCAGAAATGGCAGGGAGATTGAGCAGTGTGGCTTCCAAGATCATGGGCGGAAACGGCGTCGTCTCCCGTTCCGTCGCTTCCTCTCTTCGTCTCCGCGCCGGCATGGGCCTTCCCGTCGGCAAACACATCGTCCCCAACAGACCCCTTCAAGTAAACGACGAGCTCATCTGGGACAACGGCACGCCGTTTCCCGAACCCTGTATTGATCGCATCGCCGACACCGTAGGAAAGTACGAAGCTTTGGCTTGGCTCTGTGGGGGTTTGAGCTTCTTTGCTTCTTTGGGTTTGTTGGCCGTGTGGAACGACAAGGCATCTAAGATCCCATTTGCTCCAAAAGTGTACCCATACGACAATCTTCGAGTCGAGCTCGGTGGAGAACCGTAGGTACATCCAGCGGTTTCTGATTGTAATTGTGTGTTTCAGATGTGTTTTGTTGATTTCTGTGTTTGATATGCTGGTTCTAAATAATGCCTGTAACTGAAACTGAGATATTTGGCCTGTTTCATGATCTTCAAAACAAATTGCAAGTCTTGGTTCATTTATATAAACTTCTTTTGATTTTCATGTTAAGATGCAATTTTTCATGTTTTGTTCAATTTTTCATGTACCAATTGTGGGTCATGATCATTTGTGAACCTCTTTTTAGTTTTTTTGGGTTGTAGAGCTCAAATTAAGGGGATAAAGGCAGTATAACTCTCTGAGTAACACTGAACAAGGTGAGCTGAGAAATGCAATTGGGCTGTTCGAAGTTTGTTTGATCTGGCATAGTATGTTTCTGAGAGTAGGGAATTCAGTCAAACTGATGACATCTTAAATTCAGATTTTCACATGGTTTGTGTGGTAAAGAGAAGCACAGTTTATGATTTGATTGTGAGGTTGCCTTCCAGTCCTGTATCTTTGCTTGTGTTTCTGAGGATGTAACAGTGGAATTGATGGCTGCTTCCTGTCATGTTCGATTTTGAACAAAACAGTTGTCATTTTCTAAAATGGGGACTGTAATCTTGAATACTTTATGGACCCCCGCGCCCCCTAACCTGAATGTAATGCAAATATGTAATTTGCAGAAAAAGTTTTAATTGGCCCTGGACATTGAGTTAATTGGTGTAGAACTAGTTTTTTGTCCTTTCACTTAGCTGTTTGAACTGATGTGAAAGAAGAGTCACTTCCAACATTTTAACTGTTTGAAGTTTTCTGTTATTGCTTAAGTGGCTGTTATAAGACTAGGGCATGGCAATCGTCAAAAGAACGAGAAAATTAACAGGAAACAAAAAACATCTCAACAACTGTGTCCACAAAACATATAACAGTGTATTTCAATTGTTGTGATGGAAATTCCTGTAATGTATTTTAAATTGTACTTATGGAGAAATGCCAGAACTATGCAACATTTTTCCTCAAATCTTAACAATTAAGTTGTACTTCTGTCCTTATTAGAATGGAAGTTTTAGTTTCATTCAAGGACAGGGCAGGGTTACCTTGATGTGCAGTCCAAACATTAGATCAAACCAGGAATGGGGAGAGAAAGTAATTCACCGCTTCAAACTTCCTTAATAAGGAGATTGTGTCATGTGATTCATACTGTTGGTTATTACTGATGTTTTTTTGCCTTTAGAAATTCCTCTAAGTTCATATGAAGTTGATGTGTTCGTTGGAAGGTTTTATACGTGACATCATCTACAATTTAGGCTCATCCCCTTGATTATGTGGCAAATGGAGCTGCTGTAACCACATCATTTTGAACATTCTTGTGCTATGTTTTTGGTAGAAGTAGTTTGTAAGCATACTTTATTGTTCCATGATCTGTTTCTTATTTGGATGCTAGTTCTTTTATCATAAAGTCACTGCTACAGGTGAGTAATTCTAGGCCATTGGCGAAAAGGGTGTTGAGATAATGAGAAAATTGAGAACGAGTGAATTGGCTGAATGGTAATGCGACATCTGCATAATTTGTTTGCACTATTATCAGTCAGATGCAGGAATCTCTCTATTAGACACACTTGCACACAGACATAAGTTGATGTTTCTGATAGTGTATTAGGCTTCATATTCATTAGTTTATGATGGGGAACCAGAATCGGTGTAAGTACTCTCTCTTTTCCTAATCCAGTAGGTCATTCCATGTAATTAGCTATTACTGCCTCTCTTTTCCAGTAAATTGAGCGTGCAAGCATATGATTTTGAACATTTGCTTGTTACTGATGTTCTTTTTTTCTTCTTCTTATATGTAAGTAGTTCCAATGTATAATTTATTGTCTACGATCAATTTTTATTTGTGCACTGGTTCGCCGTCTTCTTAAATGGATTAAGATCAATTACTTGTTTAGTGCTTCCAGGGCATTGGTCAAAAGTGAGTAGAGATTGATGAGAAAAATTGAGATATAGTTGAGTTAACGGGTACTTGAATAGGAATGTGAATTGTCCTCTGCTGAATTGTTTGCTTTGTTATGAGTCTGATGCAGGAGAATCTTAATCCATTAGAAGAAGACACACTTGCACACAACTTTACACCAGTGCACAATTACCTCAACTATTTTCAACAACATTTTCGAACATTGGAATTCGAAATAACTCAATTTCACTTCCCTGAATAAGAATGGACATGAAAAATTCCTGACAAATCCCTTTCGCGAGGGAAATGCAAGATTAGCCATGGAAGGTTAGAAATTTGTTATGATATCACCCTTAAATTTCCTCGTGCACTCATTTGTGT